ATCATGTCACAGATATACGGATACATTGGTTTGACGATCCTTTTCAAAGTGGCCTAATTGTGGCTATTTTTGTGCTAAAAAACTTGTTTTATTTTTTAGATCGGATTCTGAATGGCTGACTAGTGGCCATTTTCTTTTAATGAATGGGCTTCTAGAGCCATATCTGTGACATGCTTTGACTGACTATGTTCAAATTTCATATATTCATTATACATATATTCATAATGGCTGATTTTGTTTTAATTAATGCTGTTCCAGAGCAATATCTCTCAAGACTCATTTGACGATCAGATACAAATGTAAATCATTTAAATGTTAAACAATCATCATATTCCTGACATGTTTATATTCCAGCTATATTACTATAAACAAAACTTTATATCTTAAATTTGATAACTAACGGGGACTGTCGCATGCATGGCTTGTTGTCTTTACCTTAGCAGACAACCAGTTAGCATCTCTGATGGTGCTTTGAGAAGGCCGTTTAAATCACGCATTGGAAGACTTCTGGCCTACAACTGAATAAACTGATTAAAATACTATTTACGCCAAATTTCTTTCATTTCAATTAATATTTTTAAATTCAACCACGGCAGTCCAACCAGTCCATCAACAAGCAGAATGCTCAATGACATCATTTGAAAATGTTTTGAATGTTATTCCATCAATAGAAATCTTATGTTTTAGTTTGAATTGTGAAATTTATTAATATTATTTATTATTGCTTAAAATGTTAAAAAAAATTTTATTGCAAATTTTCACAAGAAAACATGTGAAACTTGCACATTGTTTGCTTTCTAATGTACAAATCAAACAAAAAGTTGAAAAGTTGAAAACTTAGTTGGGCTGAATTAATTTATTGCTGTGCACATGGTGTTGAAGGTCATCTTAAAGATAACTTGAGATGTTTTATTGCATGCCAGGTGAATGTAAAATAGTAAAGTACAATCTATTTAGTGTTGATCTGTGACATTAAGTACTGTAGTGGCATTATTTTTTCAAATATAATTTATACCATGTATACATGTATCAGCTAAAATAAAATTGTTAAAGAACCTAATTAATATGTCTGCATGATACTAGAATTTAAATTAACAGAAAAATAATTTAAAAAAAGATGACAGTTAGTTGCCCTCTTAATGAAATATTGCAAACTTTGCAATATTTGCAATATTGCTCCTTTGATATGCAAACTGCAGAACTACTAGTATAGTCATTATTTGCAAGTTAGTGTAATGATATGTATATGACCTTAATGACCTACATACATAAGAACACAAAACACTAATACCATGGTATGAATGTCACACCACAATATCTACTTTGGGTTCAACTAAATGACATCCTGACATTATTACATATACTTAGAATCACAAGAATGTAGAGCACAATGACAGCATGGTTTTAAACAAACATTACAGTTATGAAGTGTGGATGTATTTTGAGAACTACTGATTTGAGTGAAAAAAAAATGTATCAATGTTGGTTTATATTTCACACAAAAAAAAACATTGAGAATTTTTGTTTTCACACTAGCAAATTTATATTTATAAGGTACGGTATTATAAAAAAGGGCATTCACTGGTCACTGAACTTTATTTTGTTGTTCTATAAACCCTAATGTAACATATGAGTTGCCTACTACATATACGTGCAATTATGTTACAATCGAAGGGAGCTCTGTGGAGGTCAATACTACCCCAGAACATATTCT